GAGGCATGTATTACCTGACCCGCAGTAGCGTGGGAAGGGACATGTGTATCTACTTCTGACCCACCCTGACCCGCCCCGTTCTTGACCCATTATATCTCAATTTTTTATAGTATCTATACATATTTCTTTTATTTTGAATTTTTTCAACTAGTTAAAATCCATCTTTCAACTTGGTAGAGTCAATTACCCATTTTATTACCACTATTTTTCATTCATAAAGTGTTCTCCCCTTTGTTTTGTTGTAAAAAAGTAAAATTTACGTGTATTTTTTTCAAATAACTTGTAAAAGTGGGTCGACCCGTCTCGCCCGTACCCGTGCGTGTTTTACCTGCCCCGACCTGTTGTAGCGTGGGGGGAAGCATGTGTATTGAGGTACCCGCCCCTAGGGGTGTGCAATGGTCCGGTCCGAGATCGAATCGTACCAGACCAAATCAAAGTTCGGACCGGACCATACCAGACCGAGTATAATGCAGTCCAATACTTGGTCCACATTAATTTGACAATTACTGAAGAAATGATGGACCAAGCTGATATTTGGATCTGACCGAACCAGACCAAATAGACCAAATGATGGTGCGGTATTTGGTCCTAAGATGTCTTGCACTACCGCACCCCGTTTCTAACGAATTTGATCCGGTCTGGACCGGACCGAACTGTTGCACATTCCTACCCGCCCCATTGCCATAACTATGGGTAGGAAATGGATTTCCCAGATGAACATTTATCACTTAGAGGGAGTATGGAGAATTGGATTTCAAATATCTAGAATCTAAATAATTTAACATTTTTAACTCTTTGAATTATAGAGAAATGATTTAAAAAAGTTTAGTGCTCGATAATATTATGATGGTTGATATTTAATGATAATTTTTTTCATAAATTCAAAAACATAATCTCTAAATTTATGATAGATGTGATGTTTTTAGATTTTAAAGATTCAAAATTTATGGACATAAAATCTGCTATAAAGAGTAGAAAAAATGAATATCTAAATCTCTGAATTCTACTAAATACAAAATCAAAATCCCATTCTTCAAATAACCTCTTAGTTTATGACTTTTATAGACACCTCTCACAGCTAAAAGTTTAAGACAAATCCTTCAGATTAGGGATATACATGGTTCAGTTCAAAGTCGAAACAAGAATGAATTGTACCATGAGCAAAGGAAATCAATGATGAAAGTCAATCAAAATCCCATTCTTCAAATAACCTATTAGTTTATGACTTTTATAGACACCTCTCACGGCTAAAAGTTTAAGACAAATCCTTCAAATTAGGGATGTATATGATTCGATTCAAAATCGAAACAGGAATGAATTGTATCATGAGCAAAGGAAAGCAATGATGAAAGTCAATCAAAATCCCATTCTTCAAATAACCTCTTAGTTTATGACTTTTATAGACACCTCTCACGGCTAAAAGTTTAAGACAAATCCTTTAAATTAGGGATGTACTGGTTTGTTTCAAAATCGAAACAGAAATTAATTGTATCATGAGCAAAGGAAAGCAATGATGAATGAAAGTCAATGAAAAGCGCATTTGGTCCCATTATATTTCGTCCAACCAAATTTGCTTCAATTATCTTCAGGCAATTCATCAATAGGGTGCGAACCAAATTTTTGCCCACACTTGTTTGAAATTATTGACAAAAAGTTGTGGTATGGAATGATTGGATTGGTGCCTAAAGCGTACAACGAGCATAAACCAGCGCACCTAAAATTACCTGGCAGCACCTTATCATTCATAAGTTTCCATAATTGTGCTCTTTTGTTTTGTCTATAAGATAATAAAAACGACTTAGACTTTGCTCAACAATAATGGGGAGAGAACAAAACAGGACATGCAGAAAGTAGCTAGGCAAGTGGATAATCTTCAAAGGGCTTTGTCTTTGTGGATCCAATGAACACCCAATCCTTTCTGGAGTACTATGTACCAACTATTTCATTAGAAGTGTTAGTATGTTTTTATGTAGGTTCTATTTATCCGATTTATTGTGATATGCATATCTTAAAGAAAGATGGAAAAGGTTTCTGATTCTTATTCCCATGATCAAGTAAATATATAGAAAGTATAATAATGTTGGTGGAAAATGTATAGATCAGGGAGAGAGATATGTAGGTTATGATCGGGAAAAAGAAGGTATTCTTAATCTGGAAGAACTAATAGTGTCTTTAAATAGGTTGAGGACTTAAGTTTGGAGCCCTTGTCTTGAGTTTTCTTGGAGTCTCGAAGGCGATTGGTGAGCTCGTTCCATATATGCTCGGTGGATAGTGGTCGAAAATTTAAGTTGGCAATTCATACTACTATCTCAATACCGATTTAACCAAATTAAAACATATAGGAGAACTCAAGACAATGACTCAACAATGCATGTTATAATAGGAGGAAGTGGAACGATGTCGATATTGGAGTGTTGTTATTGCATAAGAGCATGCCGCATATGAGTTGGGTGGCGGGGGCTAGTCGCGCCATGGCGATGTTCGCTGCCATGATTTACGAGAAAAAAAGAAAAGGAGTTAAATTAGCAATTGAGAAGAGAAAGATGATGAAACGTTTGTTGATTTGTAATAATAGAGAGATATAAAAATGTGTTTAATGTACAATTTAAACTTTTTTGGTAATGGGTAGTGGCAGTAGTTAATAATGGGCGGGAATGAGTCGAAGCAGATGTTTACATGAAATAATGAAATAATTAATTAGGTTGATTTTCCAGCGAGATAAGGATACTGTTTTTTCTCAACGTGACATGAAAATAGCAATGGAATAAATTATATTAGTTCTCCTCAGGAGGAATCATCAATCATGCATGTGCCTGGCTTTTAGGTTGGTGTTGATTCCTTCTGTTTTATGATCAACGTGGACACATATACCCAAAAGCCCAAACTCACGTTCAATTCAAATTTTAGATGATCAACAAGCTATTCAAATATTTGTGTAGAAAACTTGAGGGTTGAAAGCTCAAAGATTTGGTTCGAACTGAGTTGTATCGCTTACTTGTAAGAAAATAACGACGAACAATGCTAATATATGTTTACAATATTTATTCATCTTGGCAATATTTTTTGCAGAATCATTTAAATGTAATCATAAATTGTCGTGCATAATCTCTATGACAAGAGGCATCATGAGCAATATTCGTTGTACAGCAAAAGATATTTTCCACTAGGTACATGATAGACTACGAGTATGAGATTCGTAAAAATTTCGAATCTTTCATGTCCACACAACCATAATCTTTTATATAAGTGAACGGCTATTTGCCGCCAACCAAATTGCTATTTGCCGCCAATTAAAAAAAAAGTTGAATTCAAATTTTGAATTCTCCCTTCCTTCCCTTCCTTTCATTCTATAAATTCGAATACCATTAACATTTGACTCATTCCAACAAAAACACTTTTGTCGACGAGCCCAGTGCCTCCGTCGCCGGCCAACCTCCCGTCATCCTCAATCGTCGGAAAACAAGTAAGTTTACTTTTTCCGACAAGTTTTTCAATTTTCCGGCAAGTTTTCCAGTTTTCCGGCGAAAAACACGGTGGCCCGAAAAAAAATTGTGGCCGGAACGCCGCCGAAAATAATTTGCGGCCGCAGCGACGACGGGCCGAAAAAGATTTTCGGCCGGACATCGCACCGGGCGCAAAATTTTTTCGGCCCGGCCAGTTTTTGTATTTAATTTAATTTAATATGTTAATTAATTAGTCAATAAAAAATTACTTAATTAGTTAATAGAAATTAGAAATTAGAAATTAGTGTTAGTATTTATTTAAGTTCGTGTATAAATGTTTTTTTAATAGGCGTATGAATGTTTAATTACTTAGATTAGTTAATAGAAAATTAATTAATTAAGAATTAGTTTAACAATTAATGTTAATATTCAGTACATTAGTTAATAGAAAATTAATTAATTTGTGATTAATTAACAATTAATGTTAATAGTACATTAGTTAATAGAAATTTAATTAATTAGTGCGCATCTAAGTATGATATTGTGTAAATTTGTAGATAATTAGATATGGATGATGCGGGTGGGAGTGAGTTGTATAGATTCAATGGTATGGTTGTTGATGCATCAACACGAAGGAAGGTGCCTAAGAAGAATAAGGAGAAGAAGCGCTCTCGAGATATTGGACATCAGTCAGAGGCAAATTTAGGGGAGGATGGGTTAGAGGCTCCTACTGTAGTTGCTCGTTCGGCATCACGGGCGTCTAGTTCCCATGGGAGGAACCAGGGTGCTGCATCGAGAGTGGTCTCAGCTGAGTTTGATGAGGACGATAATGATGAGGATATCGAGGTCCCTCCACCTACGCGTGGACATGGACATGGCCAGGTTCCGGGCCGGAAATTTTTGGCCCACCGTCTGTTCGTTGCAAATCGTCGAAAAAATTGTTCGAAACTACAAAAAATTGACGCACCTGCTTAGTGATGATTCATGGATGCGTGTCCGCAGTTTACGTCGAGGATATGGTTTTCCGGCGACTTTTCCGGCGAGCGTCGATTTTTTCTGATTCAATACGTTCTCTGAAAGTTGAATATGTTGTAGATTGTGAAACTTCTTAACCAAAGATGTACATATATACTTTTTTTTAGTTGGCGGCAAATAGCAATTTTTTTGGCGGCAAATAGCAAGCCCCTTATATAAATCACTCATTCAAACAATGGAAAATTTCTAGATTGATCTAACATTTGTGAGAATCCTTTTGCACTGTCTTAATGGTATAATGATGAACTTTTTCATTTTCCATATATTTTAAGCAAAGCATAAATTTAGACAAGGAAAAAACTGAAAATGTCCCCATAAATTTCCAATGATGTATGTTACATGTGTATTAGTAAAGTAGAAGTTGCTACTAGATCTAATTCCCAACATTTATTTTCTTGATGACACAATAAGGTAAGAGTATTATATATGTATGTACTCAATTTTTTTTAAAAAGAGATGTAAATGACGGTGTCTGTAAATTAACTTCCACATAATTAATTATATCTATGACTTGTTTGTATTTTACTGGAGAGCTAGACAATTAAGAAGTGAAACCCTAGTACTAATCAAGCTCCTAAACACTCTTTCTCCTCCATTCTCGATCTCGCAAATGCAAGCCCCCATTTTCTGCATCCGTCTCATAACCGTCCTAACTTCCTCCTCACTTTTCCTCTTCAATCCCAACAAGCACTCCGCTCTCACTTCCCTAATCTCCTCGACCCCCACTTCCTCATCCAGGTTTACCCTCGTCGACCGTCTCGCCCTCTTCCTCAACCCATCCATCCAACCCGACGTCGTTTTCCTCGTCGAAAACCCGTTAAAAACGACCGTCGATACCAACACGGTCACCTCCATGATCTCCCTCAATATCCCCGCCAGCTCAACAGCCTCCGGTGCCAAAACGACGGGAGAAGTGCTGCTTCTTCTCGGAGTTTGGATTGCACGGACGAGTCTAGCCATTTCCACACACAACTTCCTTCTCGATTTCAGAAACATCGCGACTTTCAAATCGTCCCTCTTCCTCACCGCCACCTGGACGGAGAGGTGCAGTTCCTTCATACCGAACATAACATTCTGGAAGGTTCCATACGCATCCGCGAAGCGGAGGAAATCTTCCAGAAGATTGTCGATCCACTCGGGGTGGCGGCAGAGGGACTCCCGAGTCTGGGGGAGCTGGATGATGTCGTCCAGGTAGTCGTGGACGTCCTTGAGTCGGGCCAGGCCGTCGCAGAGCCACGCAGACGATCTGGTGCCACCTGGCTGCTGACTGGACCAGAGATGCAACTCGTCTATCTGGCGGCGTAGGTGGGAGATGAGCGGGTGGGGCCGGGAAGGGAGACTGATGGATCTCAAGTGGTGGGAGATTGGAGGAGGTGGAGGTTTCTTGTTGGGGAAGGAAAGGGAGCGCATGAATTTGCCTACCATGGTTTTTTGTGTTTTGTTTGGGATTTTTTTTTTTGTGAGAAAGCTTTGTGTAGGAGAGATGGGTTGGGGTCTTGGGGAGGGAGGTTTTATATATAGAGGGAGGGAATTTGAGAGTGAAAGTAACCGTTTGGGGATGGGAATGGTACAGCTGTTACATGTTAGTTACCAATTATTCTAAGTATGGAAGACGAGTAATGGGAGTCGTCGTGGGTGGCCAAATGGGTTGGGTGCAGAGAAACACAGAGCCGTTTCAAGTGGGGAGGAGACACACGTGGTGTTGACAAGCTGGCTATGTGTGTGGGGGATGGTGCCAATTGGCAAAAGGAAAGGAAAAGGTTTTGATGGACTAGCTCAAGAAATATTGTTTGGTAATTGTGGGGAATTTGATTTATTTGCTTGACTTTCTTTCTTATTTGCCGATTATATTACTCATTTGTCATTTGTAAGAGGGATAATTAGCACTAAAATAACGACGACAGGCCAATTAATTAAGTAAATTAGTAGGTAGCTAGATAGTTACAGACATCATCGAGTGCGCTTAATTTGCAACATGGGATTGTCAGTGAGGGAGACCACGCGGCTAGCTTTCTTTTTTTGGGTTTGATTACAAATAGCAATTATGGGACTCTGCCAATTAATTAATAGGTGGCATTGGCAGGCCTGGCCATGCAGACGACAACAAGGACTGGGAGAACAACTCCTAAACCGCGTCGCGAGAGAGAGAGAGATTCTCATCGATCGATCCCCTCCTGTTTTCCCATCCATCCCTCTCTGGCGCTCTCTCTCTCTCTCTCACACTCTGTTGTTTTACTGAGTGATGATCGATAAAATATTCTCTGTAACATCAAATATATAAAAAGTTCTAGAAACTACTCTAGAGAATTACTAAAAACGATATAATTAATAAGTGGGATTGACTGAAATAGTAGGAAAACAAATTGTTGTAAATTACACATCTAATCATTAATTTGTAGCATTATCATGTTTTATACTGTCGAACTACAAGTGGTTCTCCATGCATTGACTTGCTTCTTAAGGGCTTGTTTGATTTTGGTGATTGTTTGATGGGATAGTTACAAATACAATGCATGTATTTAACTACTCAATTTTTCTTGTTCTAATAATATAAAGGGGTAATTATTTGGTCGATGAACTCTGCGTATTTGGAGGGTTGAAATTTTCTTTTTCTTTTTACATATACTATGCTTTTAAGACAAGTTCGTATAATTCCCCATTTTCAAGGGCTATAAAACTGTTTGTCTGATTTACTAAAATTTAGGCCATGTTATAATAAAAAACTTGCGCATAAAAATTGCAAAAATATATACCCACCATCTATAATAACGGGATACATAACTAAAAATAAACAACTTTAGCATAAGACCAAAAAACACAATGAAAGAAAGAAATCGATTAGCTCAACTATAGCCTATAAATACACACCACAATTAGTCTTGCTTCACATCCAAAACACACACCAATCAAACATCTTCCTAAACAAAATCACACGAAGAATCACTTGCGTACGAAAGATGAAGCCTGTTACATTTCTCGTGGCTCTGACTACCGTCGCAGTCGTTCTCTCCACCGTCAGTGCTAGTCCCTACGGTGGGTGGCAGCCGATAGAGAACATACATAACTATCAAATCCAGGAGATTGCTAAGTTTGCGGTAGTAATGCACAACTTGGAAAACAATTTCAAACATCCGTTGAGACTCGTAAGCATTCGGAGGGGCCTTGTCCAGGTGGTGGATGGCATGAACTATAAGCTCGACGTGATGGTGGCTGAGGGCAACAGTCTCGACTCCAGGGGCAGTATGTACCGAACGGAAGTTCACGTGAGGCTTGGTGCGATGGAGCTCATTTTTTTCACACGTATAGTTAAAGGGTTAAATTAAGATCATGCATGAACAATAATTTAGCAGTCTTTGTTTTAGTTTTTAAGTTTTTCATTGTTTGATTAATAATTAGGAATAACATAAACTTTGGTTGGTTATCTAGTAATGTGTTATTAGTTGATTATGTCATTTTTATCAAAAGTATGATTGTGCCCTTAATTAATTGCTAGTGTCTAATTTTTATCTCTACAAATTGATGCGCTACATATCGTTCTACCGCACCAAATCTCATGAACAACTGAAGTCAAAACCAACAAATATCCATTGAGTAAGACTATTTCAATGTGTCAAATTAATTACTGCATCATGACATAGGCTAGAATTTGAGGACTTTCGAGAATAACGAATGTTCATGGGACAACTTAATACACAAAATTGTAAAAAATTGCATCGATTGTAGTATTACTACAAATACCAGTGCCCACTCAATTTCGACACGACAAAGCAACCAGTGTAGTTGTTATCAAGGCTCCTTTGTATGGTTTAAATGAAAGGGAGCAGAGTAAATAAAAGGTGTCGTGTTTCCTTTGCGGAAACTTCAGAAATTACTGCTTAAAAAATGTTACATGTAAGGAATCCTTGAAAGGACAAATAGTGAGGAGATTGATTTGTTTCGAAAGTATTTAGGAAAAGAATCCTACACCTAGTGGTGGCTAAAGATTTAAAATTCAACTAAATCACATAGAGGAGAAAAATTAATTGGACCAAATCCGAGAAAATGTATATATCTGGGTCCACCTTAATCCACACTTATCCTTTATTTATATATATTTGAGTCTTCCGAATCGGTTCATGTTATTAATTTCAGTTCAGAGTGGTTATTTATTTTGTAGCAAGTCTCGATGAAGATACACAACGCACGAGGGAAGAGGAATTACGGCACACGATAATGGCATCCCCTTATCATAATTAATCACTTCTTACCTGGAACTACTTGACCATCGATTATCGAGCCCAGCGAGCCAACTGATTACTTAACTCAATAGAAATGCATCCCTCCTGCCTAAATCTGGACTCGATCGAGGCAGGTGTTTCCAGGCGAGAAAACTTGCATTGAATTGATATTGATTGCACCTTGATTTCTTTGGACAACGATTAAATTAACACGGTTCACACATCTTCAAACAAAGTTCAAACGAGGGTGTTCGATGTTTACACGACTCACGATACATAAATCTACATTAAATTACCCTACTCCTATGGAGGTTCATTGAGAGCTCCAGATCTACGACTATGACTAAAATTGCAAAGGAAAAGATAAAAGCATAAAATTTGACATTGGGGTGTCTGGTGTGAATTTGGCGAACCCTTCTCTGTCAACTCCTCCTCCTATTTATAGTCTTGAAGTGGTAACCGTCATAGAAAAAATGTCTGAGATTATCTTCCAAAAAGAACTGCTCCCCTTCTTCCTCGGATGTGGCTGACGTGTACTTGAACGTGTGATAATCGGCAATTGCCCAGTTAACCGCCTGCTATCTCTTTTTGAATTGATGTCTTGTTAGACATAGAGGCCAACGTGGTATAGCTCTCTGACTCAGCATATTTGAGGTTTTCCTCTACCACGTAGCTTGCCTTCTTCTTTCCAACTCGTTAGTTTAGATCTTGTCATGGTCTAGATCTCGCGGCCACCTTGGTCTATTAGACTTGACGCCAACTTGGTCTAGATCTCGCGACCTTGGGCCATCTTGGTCTACTAGGATTGACGCCAACGAGGTCTAGATCTCGCGACCACCTTGGGCTATTAGACTTGACGCCAATGTGGTTTATATATCGCGACCACCTTGGGCTATTAGGCTTGACGCCAACATGGTCTAGATCTCGCGACCAATTTGGTCTATCCAACTCGTGACGAGCCTGATCTAGTAGACTCGCGACGAGAATAATTCCTTCCCTGAGACTTAGTGGTTTGGGCTTAAAAATCTAGTACCATAAGGCACATCTTAAATAATATTATTTTTTATTATTGATCTGGCCTTATAAACACAGTTAGTACCTTGTAAATAATCAATGTGGTACAAGATTATTTTTTGGGTGTAAGCAAATGCCCTCCAACTATACTTAGTGCATAAGAATTATGGACTAAGCAGTTGAGACCACATATAGCACCAACACATGTCGTCTCTTTACTTAGCCAAATATGACTTTCACATTAAGCCAACACGGCCAGATGAAACTAGACGTCAAAGCTTAGCCCATGCCTTAGTCAAATTTTGGCTTTCAATGATCAAGCCAACACGGCCAGATGGAACTCGCAGTCAAAGCTTGTCCCATGCCTTAGCCAAATTTTGGTTATCACCTCAAGCCAACACATTCAGATGGAACACGCCGTCAAAGCTTGTTCCATGCGTTAGCCAAATATTTGGCTATTACATCCAACCGCCTATTGCATTCAACGAGACACCAATCTTGCTAAAACGTGACTGTGTGCGAGTTAGGGGGAAGCGTTTGAATCAGGCCGCCTAGCGGTGTACTTAATTATAGGGGAGCCATGTGGAGGCCCCTGAACTATATATGTATCAGTGCCCGGTCGGAAGGAGAATCTCAATAGTCAATATATATGCATGAGCATGAATGCATGCTTATTGCTTAATCAATGCATTGCGGTGGTACGAAACTATGAATACGATCGAGACTTAGAGTTCATTTGGTAAGTGCGTATCTAAATGATGTATTTAATGAATGCATGTATTGTAGAGAATGCATCATTTTTTTGTTGTAAAATAAAACACAATACATGTATTTGATTGTTGATGTGACATTTGAAATCATTCAAAATGAATGATTTAGAATCTCAACTATTTGGTGAGATTGTTGAGATTTTGTTTTAAGATTCTGAATCACCTTTTCGTCTCTTTTATGCCCTTATCAACTTTTATATGTGATTGACTTTTATATCTAAATGGAAGAGTAAATGTGACTTTTTATTCAAAAAGTTGGTTTCCTATTATATTCTTACAAATACAATCACAACTAGGGGTGGCTATACGGTCCGGTCTGGTTAAATTGGACCAAATTGATACTGTCTCAGTCCGGTCTTTTGGGGAATATAAAGACCAATGATTGGATTGGATACAGTCCGGTCTTCTTGACCCGGTCAGGTCC